GTATTTTGCCATTTTCCATTAATTGTAAAATTATAATAAGGTTTAAATGTTGGTTAACGTGTTTGTTATCTATATTTGATCTGTAATATGAGAAACAATAAGAAAGACTGCCAATTGCCAAGTTCATGTGCTGAAATAGTACCTCTGAATATACCTCAGTTATTTTATCTACCCTCAGTGACCTCCATCTGTAGCACATGGGTCTGCTTACTCTGAATTCTAGTAGGTTTGGTGACAGGAACTAATTCACCTGTACGCAAGCTAAGATTTGACATTTTTTGTATGCACGCATGTAAGATATAATTTATTGAGTATTTAGAAAAATTTAAGCATACTTGTATGCAATAGACTTAATAGGAATTGAGTTTTCACATAAATATTTGCGTAATTTACGCAGATACGCAGCTTATCTGTACCTCTGATCACCATCACCACCAAAACACAGACACACATATTGTAGGGCGGAAATATATGGGCTGGAGGGCGCTGTAAACTTTTTTGATATTTATAACCAACAGGGAAGTAATTACAGGAGAATGTGTTTCGTTTAGCGTTTTAAATCTGTTATTATTCGCATGTTCTACACCATCATAAGTTGTAATTCATGTGTCATAACAGAGGAATTGTAGATTGATTTACTGTATCATAACCTTTCCAATTGGTTACCATAATATATTGTATCATTACACAACTACTTAACACAGTAACTACCATAAATATAGCAGCATGAGTTTACCTGCCTTGCCAACCACACCTCACATTTCAATCAACTTGACCCACCCAATATATCCCTTCACTCTGGACATCAGCAATAATCATGACATTCCAAGGCCAGAAAACATAACCTATACATTGATGAAAAGGAAACTATGATTCAAACGTGCTAGACTTAAGTATTATAACTTACTGAATACTTCCTGATTACTATCTATACAGAACAAAAGCTAGTCAGAGACAACTTGTATGACCACTTGATCCAGAGTCTTTGAAATATAAAGATGATTCATAGGATCATAAATGTTGACTGACCACTGCAGTGAACAAGGTGAAGGTCACAAGCATTATAATTGGGGATTCTAATTCATTTAAAAAATTATCCATGAATGATTAACGAATACAGATGTACACAACTTTCTGAATCTGTTGGCCATGACTGTGACCAGTAGACAATCCACTACAACATCTTCAGGAGTGGGCAGTTATATAAACTGTGTGTGAGTGAGGTTTTACACAGCTTTTAGCAATAATCCAGGACTGACTGAATTTGGTTTTACGCCGCTTTAGCAATATTCCAGCAACATCACGACGGGGGACACCAGAAATGGGCTTCACACATTGTACCCATGTGGGGATTCGAACCCGGGTCTTCGGCGTGACGAGCTGACGCTTTAACCACTAGGCTACCCCACCGCCCCCAATAATCCAGGAATATAATGGCAGGGGGACACCAGAAATGGGGTTCACACATAGTACTCATGTGGGTTATCAAGCCTTGGCCTTCTTATGACGAGCAAACATTTTAACCACGTGGCTGCCCCACCTCCTTACCCTATATGACTAGCTTCCAGAGCTCCAGATAAGATTTACCTCATGTGGGTACTGTACCCAATGTATTTTTTTTGAGTGGGTATTATGAATGTTGAGTGGGTATTTCATTTTCCGTTACCCACTGCTTTCAAGTATGTGCGTATTTCAGTCATTTTACTCACCTAAGTATTATGTCATTGAGTAAGTTTACTAAGCAGGTATGTTCTGCCTTATGTCATACCTAATCAAAACCAACTTAAATATAATGGAAATGGTTTCATAAAAATCACTCATCCTGTACTGACAGTACAACTTGATAGCAATCGATGTCTTTTTCATTACGCAAGTGATTTTTATAAATGTATTCCGTACGCATTTGTTTTAAACTTTTTGCGTATCTAACATTTTAAAAGCGTAATTGGTACGCAACAATTATTTTTCAATGCGTAATTGGATGCGTATTTTACCCGGATACGCAGCTTATCTGGGCCTCTGAGCTTCTATAGGAAACACTAATTGTTTCATAACATACACTGTATATCAACATACTGCAAATCACCTGACAATCAGCTGACATGAGAGGACTGACCTAATCATCAAAATGATCTAAATTACAGCTAGCAAACACCCAGTACTGTGAAGACAATAATGTCTGTTGATATTTCTTATGAAAGACAATGGCTGCCTCACCACTGCAGTCTTGGGTGAGTTTTTGGACAGCATTAACTGAGCATGGCAGAATTACGTCAATGGAAACTAACACTGATAAACTGAAAGAGACCTGCATGTTAAACTTGTAAAAACAGGAAATGAAAAACATAATTTTGCTACATTCATAAAAATCCCCATACATTCTTCACAGGTATACCTTCTACTCTACTGGATAGCAGGTATAATTCAGTATGTAATGGAGTATATTTCTTTGTTACAGCACACAAGAACAAGGATGATACCTATCTGTAATGCTAATGTGCTTCACTAAATGATCAAAGGCACTGACACTACATTATTGGGCGATAAAAGTACACTTTTCACATTACGTCACACTGAATAGACGTCACTATGCCATTCTAATCTGCTGCCTTGTAATCAAATGTACCCTTGGTAACTGATGCCACGATTGAAGTCAGTTGTTCTTGCCTAGTCCAGTTTCCTACTCGGATTGCACCCTGTTTCATGGTCGTCCTCATGCTTTAATATAATCCTTCAAGAAAATTGTTCTAGAGAGTGTCAACCAAGTCAGTGAGCCTGACCACCCGAACCTGTTAGTCGCCTCTTACGACAAGCATGGGTTACTGAAGATCAATATTCTAACCCGGATCTTCACGGGCCCTGAACTGAAGTTAGGTGATTAATGTAATGAGCAACTATCCGCCAATGATGATACATGTAAACAAATTTACGTCACCTTGGATGTCAGTAGGGAAATCCCCTAATCTCGTGACACCTAGGCATTTTCCATAATAGACAAACATCTATACCAAAAGTATTCTCATGTTCATATGATGTCACAAAAAAATCAAACTGAAATCAACCTTTGGAAAAGTTGTCAAATTTAAGTTTAATAATTCCCAGTAAAATTTGCTCAAAGCCTTCTTTTGAATGTACAGTAGCTGTCTGTTAAGTACCATTGGAGGATATACAGAATAGTTCACCACCTAATCCATAAGTCACCATCACTGACACCTCTTACAACAAAGGTTGAAAAAGAAGAAGGATAAATAATATGTACACAAGTCACTATCAAATATTTGCTTGACCTGAGTAAGCTGATAAACATATATATATATATATATAAGTGTGCGAACACATATACACGCATGCACGCACGCACACACACACACACACACACATTCTTTGCTAAAACATCAAACTGTTTGGTCAATATGATTTTGATTAACTTGATAATAGATTTCATTAATTTCAGTACAATATTTAACTTTGGTGCTAGGTTTAGTTTTAAATAGAAAATGAGAATTTAATATCAAGTGATACTACGATAGTCTTCCACAAATAATCAGATAAAACACACATATACTTTTGCAACTATGGAAAATGATGACCTAATTTTATTGTTTAATATAAGTTTGTGTTATATATTAATTTTCACTAAGAAATGTTGAAAATAGGGGTGTCACGATACACCAATCTCACGATACAATACGTATCACGATACGAGTATCACGATTTTAAGGTCACGATACGATACGTATCGCGATACATAACTTTCACGCCTTTTCATAGCATTACCTTACAGCAACGTACGCGCTCGCTGATTGGTCCATCAAAATAGTCTATCCAATCACAAAAGCTGTTAGTTTCCAACCTATTTTTTAAGTAAAGCTAGCTACATCTATTTATCGGAGCGGTCTCGTATAATTTTACTATCAAGACTTTGACGGAGATGGATATAGCATAAAAATTTGAATCGATAAAGTTTTAAAATAGGAATCGATACACGCAAGCATGTATCGCGTATCGTATCGTCAGTAAAAATGTATCGATGCATCGATACATTCGCATATCGCGACACCCCTAGTTGAAAAGTATCCAATCTTAGGTTATCAGATGCATGACATTTCCTTTGTGTGACATACCCCTAGTAGACTAAGGTGTGAGTCATGTACGTTGTTTAACACAACTACCACAGCTGGTGGGACATGTTTCAAAATGTTAATACTACACAGAAAAACTATATCTTTAACTACACATTTAAGAAAGATAAAATGCTTGAACTAATGAAATAAGTGTTCCTGTTTGTGTATGAAATGATTTTAACATCACATCCAATCTTATTGTAAGTGAGTGAGTGAGTTTAGTTTTTACGCTGCACTCAGCAATATTCCAGTTATATGGCGGTGGTCTGTAAACAATAGAGTCTGGACCAGACAATCCAGTGATCAACAGCATGAGTATCGATCTACACAACCGGAATACGATGACGTGTCAGCTAAGTGAGTGAGCCTGACCACTCGATCCCTTTAGTCGCTTCTTACGACAAGCATAGATTACTGAAGATCAATTCTAACCCGGATCTTCACAGGTTAATATTATTGTACTAGTACAATGAGAACAAGTACAGTTATCTTTGTATGTTTGGGATCATACCACAGAACTTTCACTCCATGGGCAACCATTTTACCCACTGGACCATAAAGGCTGAATGTGTTACCTACAGCTATGTAATATCTACTTGTTCGTTTTATTATCATGCTTACTGTCAGCATGACAGTAGGTCAATAGGTCAAATGAAAATACCACACATATAGTCAAACTATTTGATCATGATAACTCTGTTTCTAGTCACGACCATCACTCCCCCACCTCCCAACCCCAAACATCACACACCTGGTCACACTTACTATGGTTTGAAACACATTAAAAAGTCAATCAAACCTTTGAAAGCAACTAATAGATCCCATGAACCTAATTAGCTCTGATTCTCATCAAGAAAAGAAACTGCTGATAAATACCTTTGGGTTCTTCTTGTCCTGCATTGTCTGCCAGCTAGCCATCAACAAGTCACTATCATCACACAGTGTTCGTAAGATCAGAGAATGGTAATGTTTTGAAAAATATCCACCCTGATCTTTACAAGATCTGCCAATGATATGTTAAATTTGCTTGATCTGATATCTAATAAACAGGACGCCAACTATTCATACAACTTGAAAAAATCCAAATAATCGTCTCGCTGTCGATGTCATTACCAGTGTCACTCTCTGTACCTCGGTCGTTTCTTTTCAGTGAAGATCATATGATCAATGCTATTTATAGAATGAACTGACAGATTGGATTTATATGATAGATCTACGTGACTTTTCAGATATCTATAAACCAAACTAATTTGATAACGTTTGTTTGAATTACACTCACGTTATAATTTGAAACTATGGACAAAATTCCATCATTTTCAGTCGATCCTGTTATGAAAGTAAAATGACGCAAATGAATCTGTGAATTTCGTGTTGATGCACATGTGCACGTCTTGACTGACACATTTATGTCCTGAACTCCGCACTGAATATTGTCAAAACATTCCTTTAAATATCATAGAAAAATATATTTCTTACTGTGAAAATTCTAGTATGAAACTTCCATACAATACTCTTTGTTTTGATCTATTTGTTTGTGTTCATGTAAATTACTAGTACGTTTGCTGCTAGTCAGTGTCATGGCGCTGCCCTTGAAGAAGTCATCGACTGGGATCGAGAGAGAGAGTGTGTTTAACTGGTATGGACGTTTAATAGAACCAGATCGAATATTGTGAATCGGCATTGTCATAATTTGGAATCTGTTCACCATCATCTGGAAATGTGACACTCTCTTTGTGACAATGTGCGATATTTCTTATGTAATGATGTGCAAAGGGAGGTAACATTTCTCTTTTTGGAGTGCGCGTTTCCAAAGAAGCTTTCAATTCCTTTCACTCATCTCATAGGCAGTGTTCTTTCGTTTGCACGTGTCTTTTCAACAAAGTGTCATTTATCTAAAATATCTATGTAGACATCCTTACTCTTAGAAATTGTAGATTCAATTTTTTAATATCTGTTTTAATGGAACTGAATCTATCAAATCAAAAGCTTGAGGGGGGTTTAGTGCACGTTAGCCTAGGTAAACATGGTAAAATGCCCCTTAATCCACAAACTCCTGTTCCAGATTTGTGAATACCTGATTCTGGACGATGTCGTTGCCGCTGGTGACTCGCGTGTGTTGTCGCTACAGCAGCACCAGTGTGCGGCAGATGAGGAGAAAAGCTATGCTTGACCGCATCATCCGTGTTGACCATGCCGGAGAACTCGGGGCAGATCGGATATATGCTGGCCAGTTAGCAGTACTAGGGAAAACTGCTGTTGGTCCTGTTATCAAGGTTAAATCTTGATCCAAAGTTAAATGGGGGCCGTGAATTGTAACCCAGCCTGTGCCTTAAACATGTTTATCACACTGGTTTGATGTTAGGGGTACCAAACGAATTAGTGAAAATAAAATAATTTTTAAGAATTCTATTCTGAATAATATCACAATTATTTTACCAGTTTGCATGAAAAGGCTACTTAGTTTGGACTTCCAGATAAATCTCTGAATAATGTTTTGGCACAGATGTATTTGAAAGCAATTTGTCTATTTGCGTCTCATGTACCTCCAAGATGGGTACAAATTGATATTTGTTGGGGCAGTTATCAGCAGCAGTGATTGCAAATATGCTGTTGGCCATCTGGAACATGTTGACTGGGGTTTTATTTTTTCAGGAAATGTGGGAACAAGAAAAAGAACACCTGGCAACCTTTGAAAAATTGATGAAAGAGCACCGTGGTCGACCGACCGTTTTGTTGCCAATATGGAATGTGGCAGGGTTTGTGTTAGGTGGGTGTGTGGTTGTCAGCAGCCAGAATTCTGTGTGGGGTGGGAGTCGAAAAGCATTTGCCCATCACGCTGAAGACAGGGTTTGATTCTCCACATGGGTACAATGTATGAAGCCCATTTCTGGTGTCCCCTGCCTTGATATTGCTGGAATATTGCTAAAAAGTGGCGTTAAACTAACTCACTCACTCAATCATATTGAAATTCATGACAGGTTTGGAAAATGAATAAGACACCAACATGATATTCTCTAACATCGTTATTTCATATTTCTTCTTTCTTTATGTGTTGCCTTAAATATTTCCATCAGTATAATCAAATACCTATTTTATAAATATTATGTTTTTTTCCAGTAGATGAAATTCCAGTATGTACTTACTGTGCCCATATGTGTTGGGTATGCATGAAACAAGGGAGACTACTCCATCTACAGAAAGTGTGAACTGAGATCTGTGTTTGAAGTGGGTGTCAGCCATCTTGTTTTGATCTAGTTTTGTCATGACTGACAGACAGATTGGATGAAAATCTTTTGAAAAGACACCCATTAAAATGACATTGTTATGAATCTTTTATGACAAAGATAGTCATAGAAAATGGTTTATGTCCGTAGGGGCTAGCACTGCCCTACTTGGCAAGGAAGGGGCAATGGCTTGTACAGTTGCAGTGGAAGATGTCATTGGGGATCACTATAACAGGTGAGCTGCCATCTTGTCTGTCCTCAACTCTGTGTTTTACACAGGGCAATGCATATGTCATAAAGGTATCTGACAACAGTGTATATTCTTGAAGATCCAGCTTAGAATTTGTCTTCAGCTTGTAAGAGGCGTCGAACAGTATTGGGTGGTCAGGCTTGCTGATTTGGTTGACACGTCTTTGTATCCCAATTGCGTAGATCAATGCTCAAGCTATTGATCACTGGATTGTCTGGTCCAGACTCGATTATTTACAGATTGCCACCATATAGCTGGAATAGTGTGGTTTTAAACAAACGCCTGAGCAATTGATCCATCCTCGGTTGCCATGGAACCAAGATTCCAATCTATCCCCTTGGTGATCACAGGAGATGTTACAGACTCCAGGACACCATCTTAGTTTCAAAAGCTGTTAGATATGAACAGCTTGGTGAGGAACCTGGTTAGTTCTCCATGTAAACCAACTCATTAGGAATAAAAACGTTATGTTTTCAGTCAAATTCGAGAACTGATGAGTGACGATCCTGAGGCGAACAAAGAGTTACTAAAGGTAGGTGCTATCATGTCTTCGCAAGGAAAGGGAGTTAACTGACTATAAAGTCCAGTTCCAGCCTCGCTATTACCGTGTGTAAAATATGCATTATGTCGGAAAGCGCACGTTAAATTTCCAAATCATCATCATCATGTTTGGAACGAGAATGCAACTTCTTAGTAATATTTCAAGTGGACAAATAATTGTTTGCAAAGTCAAAACACGTATCAAACCTTTTATATTTTGTTAACAAACGCCATTTTGTAATCAACATGACAAGAAGTGCAGATTTCTGTGATTTGCAAAATTTGCCATGCATATGTTCTGTCAGTTTGATGGTATTTTCTATTTCTCTTTGAATCAAGGTGTTCAAGCATTAGCAAGATGGAATCTGACTGGTTAATAGAGGGATATAAAAGGGGCAGAACTCGTAATAGTAACTGGTGGCACGATGACAGAGCATGAAAAATTCCAGCTTTTTTGTATAGTAGCTGAAGACATAGGTGCACCTGTGGTTTAACTGATTATGAAACATTGGGGAAAAATTGTGATTTTGTTTAAAACTGGGATTTTGTAAAAAACACACCAAATTCTCTTTAATTCAGCAATATTTTATCTTTGTAATATGTGAGTGTATTCAAGAATATATAACTATAACACTTTTTCACTTTGTAGAGATATCCTGTATTTCTCTCATAATAGAACGAAATAAGAAAGAAGTTTTAGGTTTTATAAAAACTCAGCATTGGTGTATTTGAGTCATACTCAGTCTCTGTTCATCTTTTGCAGACGATTACCAAATTTCGAGATGAGGAGCTTCATCACCATGATACAGGCTTAGAACATGATGCTGAGAAGGTGAGTGTAACACAGTTTCAGAGAAATCGTGTCAAGAGGGATCTGTTAATTTAAGAAATGAATAACCAGATTTAGGAAAGATGAATGGAAATCCAGTTAATGGGGAGATGGGTATTGTTTTCTATGAAATTTGAGCCCAGTCACCATCAGTGCAATTGACTGGCTGTACCTCACACTTATGTGACCTAGATTGACACTGAAGGTCATGGTCACCCAGTCTGAAGTAGGGGTCAAAGGTTTGTGTACAGGTTAACATTAGTATATGTAACTTCAAGTTACAACTTGGTGTATGCTATCTCTAAGGTGGGGTCACAACAACTTCAACTTGTATGTGACCTCTGCATAAGGTCAAGGCTACTTAGAGTCAAATTATAGAGCAGGATTAAATGTTATGAAATATCTCATGTATAATTATATACTACCCATCAAAAGTTTAGACTCACTTAAAACACTCACTATCTGTTATGTGTGTGTGTGTATATATATATATATATATATGTGGTTACATCGAAGATGAATTTCTCCACTAACTTGGGGAAACCAACTGCAAACCTTATGCAGATGAACCTTAGCTGCCCCTTTCTCCCTTTGGCTTCCAAATGGTTCCATGATCGGCCATATTTGTCACTCTCCTTCTTCGCCTTGAGGACTGCCAGTTGTGAGAGCACCTGGGTCCCTATATCGCACATATCCTTTTTAATTGTGGGACCTTAAATCAAAATTATTGCTGTATAATGGGTTTTTAGGATTATATTCTACATTCTACGGTTTCTTTGAATTTAATAATTACCTTTTTCCATCCATAGACATGCTAAGGACTGGGCACGTAAGTATTCACAAGTCATGTCTAAATCGAAAGTGATTACGCTTGAATACCGCGGTGTTAACCACTCCTGCAGATGTTTAAAATTCTAGTGAATTGCTGAACGCTTCTCAGGAGCAGGTCGATGTACCAGAGGTGAACGCGGAGGCCATAAAAGATCATTGTCTACTGAGCTGACCTCATTGCAGATTAAGAAGGCCAAATCTTCATCTTCGCAGAAGAAGAAGGCTACTACCATGAAGACTTCAGCTTAAGTCTAATATCAGCTCTACACAGAAGACGCAGGTCTTTCTCAGCCGAGATTGTTCCTCTGGAAGAAGCAGATGTTTATGATGATCCACCCATCCTCATACCTGAAGTCACCATCGCCAGTAAGAAGACGAAGCCTCGCTTCTACAGCTACATCGGCATTGGTAACAGTGCAGACTTTGACAGAAGACCTACTATCAATGCAGACATCGGGTACCAGAGATAGCAGCAGCGCCAACTCGCCACGAGTGCAGCGAAAGCCTTAGATGACGCCTCTTCAGTATTAGATGCATCATCCCTGCAGCAGTCTCTTCAGACAATGCAGAACTTCAACCCGGACTGTTCATGCAACAGTTTACAGACCAGATGATATCGAAGATGGAACGCCGCCGCCAAGAGAAGGATGCTATGAAGACCGCTACAACGCCTACTAGCCTGTGTGAAGGCTCTACAGTCTCCCACCACATCTGGATGAAGAGGGAAGCCTGCGTGAAGGCCCAACGGACACAACGATTTTCCCCATCTGAAGTAGACGTTTCCAGAGAGTGCTTCTAAGAAGTCTTCACGCAGGAAGGAATCAAGGCTTCTTCCCGAACCCTACAGACGCCGTAAAGAGATATGAGTCGCCATCTCCATCGAACTCTGATGACCATCAAGAGCCGCGCTGGCTAAGCACTTCTACAGAGGGGAAGTTACGCCCAGGCCTAGAGTCAAGATCGTGCCGAGGGAATCGATCGCGAGATCATCCCATAGAGAGGAAAGATTACGCCAATCAGCCTTCGCGGAAGGCTTAGAGAGATATCTCAAAGACTTCAGGAGGAATACACGGTCACACCAGGACTGTGCACCTGCACGCAGCTCCACATACAGATCTACATACAGAGACTCACATCATTATGGATCTTCAGATAAGGAAATGTCCAACTGCACCGCCTGAAGTTAGAAGTCTGGAGAACTTTACTAACGCCAGTTCAGCATAGCAGACCCCTCGATGACAGTCGGCCTGCTCGAAGGAATATTAGCTATACAAGCTCTCTCGGATGAAGGCCTGCACGAACAGTTATGTTCACCAAGATCCTTACTGTCAGAAGTATCAGCAGTTAGAAGCCTGGAGGATTCAACAAACGCCAGCTTAGCATTAGCAGTCCACGATGGAGCCTCCACGCAGTTTCAGCTGCCTCAGCAGGAAGGATTCTAACACAGAAGTAGATCCAGACTGAAGGTCATGGTCACCCAGTCTGAAGTAGGGGTCAAAGGTTTGTGTACAGGTTAACATTAGTATATGTAACTTCAAGTTACAACTTGGTGTATGCTATTCTAAGGTGGGGTCACAACAACTTCAACTTGTATGTGACCTCTGCATAAGGTCAAGGCTACTTAGAGTCAAATTATAGAGCAGGATTAAATGTTATGAAATATCTCATGTATAATTATATACTACCCATCAAAAGTTTAGACTCACTTAAAACACTCACTATCTGTTATGTGTGTGTGTGTATATATATATATATATATATGTGGTTACATCGAAGATGAATTTCTCCACTAACTTGGGGAAACCAACTGCAAACCTTATGCAGATGAACCTTAGCGTCCCTTTCCTCCCTTTGGCGCGCCCAAATGGTTCCATGATCGGCCATATTTGTCACTCTCTCCTTCTTCGCCCTTGAGGACGGTTGTGAGAGCACCTGGGTCCCTATACGGCACATATCCTTTTTAATTGTGGGACCTTAAATCAAAATTATTGCTGTATACGGTTTTTAGGATTATATTCTACATTACGGTTTCTTTGAATTTAATAATTACCTTTTTTCCATCCATAGACGTGCTAAGGACTGGGTACGTAAGTATTCACAAGTCATGTCTAAATCGAGTGATTACGCTGAATACCGTGTGTTAACCACTCCTGCAGATGTTTAAAATTCTAGTGAATTGCTGAACGTTTCTCAGGAGCAGGTCGATGTACCAGAGGTGAACGCCGGAGGCCATAAAAAGATCATTGTCTACTGAGCTGACCTCATTGCAGATTAAGAAGGCCAAATCTTCATCTTCGCAGAAGAAGAAGGCTACTACCATGAAGACTTCAGCGAAGTCTAATATCAGCTCTACACAGAAGACGAGGTCTTTCTCAGCCGAGATTGTTCCTCTGGAAGAAGCAGATGTTTATGATGATCCACCCATCCTCATACCTGAAGTCACCATCGTCAGTAAGAAGACGAAGCCTGCTTCTACAGCTACATCGGCATTGGTAACAGTGCAGACTTTGACAGAAGACCTACTATCAATGCAGACATCGGGTACCAGAGATAGCAGCAGCGTCAACTCGTCAAGAGTGCAGCGAGCCTTAGATGACGTCTCTTCAGTATTAGATGCATCATCCCTGCAGCAGTCTCTTCAGACAATGCAGAACTTCAACCCGGGACTGTTCATGCAACAGTTTACAGACCAGATGATATCGAAGATGGAACGTCGCTTCGCTCAAGAGAAGGATGCTATGAAGACCGCTACAACGTCTACTAGCCTGTGTGAAGGCTCTACAGTCTCCCCACCACATCTGGATGAAGAGGGAAGCCTGCGTGAAGGCCCACGGACACAACGATTTTCCCCATCTGAAGTAGACGCCCCAGAGAGTGCTTCTAAGAAGTCTTCACGCAGGAAGGAATCAAGGCGTTCTCCCGAACCCTACAGACGTCGCAGATATGAGTCGTCATCTCCATCGAACTCTGATGACCATCAAGAGCCTGCGCGAAGGCACTTCTACAGAGGGGAAGTTACGTCCAGGCCTAGAGTCAAGATCGCATCGGGAATCGATCGCAGATCATCCCATAGAGAGAGGAAAGATTACGTCAATCAGCCTTCGTGAAGGCTTAGAGAGATATCTCAAAGACTTCAGGAGGAATACACGGTCACACCAGGACTGTGCACCTGCACGCAGCTCCACATACAGATCTACATACAGAGACTCACATCATTATGGATCTTCAGATAAGGAAATGTCCAACTGCACCGTCTGAAGTTAGAAGTCTGGAGAACTTTACTAACGTCAGTTCAGCATAGCAGACCCCTCGATGACAGTCGGCCTGCTCGAAGGAATATTAGCTATACAAGCTCTCTCGGATGAAGGCCTGCACGAACAGTTATGTTCACCAAGATCCTTACTGTCAGAAGTATCAGCAGTTAGAAGCCTGGAGGATTCAACAAACGCCAGCTTAGCATTAGCAGTCCACGATGGAGCCTCCACGCAGTTTCAGCGTCTCAGCAGGAAGGATTCTAACACAGAAGTAGATCCAGTCGTTCTCCAGGATTCTACAGACTGCGCAGATACAGATCTTCCAACTTGGACTTTCATCTACCTGCGTGCAGGCACTTACGGGGAGGATTATAAACAGAGTCAGCATGTCCCACCGTTCAACGATAGCAGATTTCCCCTTCATCATACGGAGCCCTTCATGATACATCAGGGTTTGAGATTACAAGATCATCAGTGAAAGAAGAGACGCATACCTGAAGTAACGATGTCAGATAACGTCCGATGAAACACTGCAGATGAATTTTCATCACATGGGATTACAAGATTTCGAGGGGACAGTTAGCAGCATTGTCACAGTTCCTCAGCGAGACATCGGTTACGGTCAACTTTACAGAACATCTGTATAAGATGACGACTGCAGTAAAGATTATAAAGTTGAAGAATACAGTCACAACAGACAGGGAACAGTCTCTCTGCTTACATCGATACTACACGGCGAAGTTTTTGCGCGCTTCCACTCAGCCATCAAGACACGTGTTTACTCGTGTAACTCCGGCACAAGCCGAACAGAGAGGTTACGGACAGGGCAGAGTGTTGACGAAGAAATCAACGACTGCACAAGATTCTACGAGGATCATTTACCCGGTGACATCACAGTCACGTGTCAGGAAATCGTCT